CCGGCTGGGGACTCCTTCGCGCGCCCGCAGGGGGCTATGCCATTTGGACATGTAACTGTCAGCACGGGATCTGCGCCTTGCAAAAAATGAAGCTGGCGGCGGGACTGTGGGGCTGGCTGAGCCTCCTGGCGGCGGCGGGGACCGTCCGGCCCGGCGCTTCTCAGTCAGGTGGGTCCCGCCGCGGAAGCCGCTCCGGAGCGCGGCGGCCTCGCGCGGCCCCTGCGCCCTCTCTGCCTGCCGGGGACCCGCTCGCCCCTCGCGCTCGGGCCCTGCGTCGCCCCTCCGGCCATCCCAAACTTGCGGTGGATTTGTGCTATTTTTCTTGAAACAGTACTCCGCGCCCGTGTCCCGATTTTTTGCCCCCTCTCTTCTTAGACCCCTTCTTTCCTTCTCGCGCGTTTTCTGCGAGCTTGAGCCGCATCCCTTCTGGTCACGCCTGTTGTTCGGGACGAGGGAACCCCAAACGCGCAGGCGGAGGAGACGCCGCTCCCCGTCCGGGCCCTCGAGGGAGGAAGCCCCCGAGAAGCGCGCACCCCTGGGGCTTTGGAGAAATGGGGGTGTCGGGGCCGCTGCGCGCCGGCCTCTCCGGAGCCCGCGCGGTGGGGCGCGGAGCCCGGGAGCGCGCGGCTTTGCACCTGCGGGCGCCGCGGGCGGACGCTGCGCCCCTATCCGGGTCGCTCGCTGCGCTGCCCCCGCTGGGCAGCTGGGAGGCGGGCGCGCCTGGGCCTGGGGCCCGGAGCGCTGGGCCTCCTCGGCTGGCGCCCCGGAGCTCTAACCCGCTGCTCCCGAGGGGCACTTTGCTAGCCTGTCTGACCTCTTAGTGGAAAGGGAAAAAACAACAACAACAAACTTGGCACCCTGGAGGCAGGCGCCCGGCCTTCCCGTCGTTGCTGTGTTTGGCTCGGGGAAGAGTTCTTCCTGTAGTTCAACTTGCTATTGGCCGGAGTCCTCCAACTTCTGTGTTTACTGCCCGGCCCGGTCGCGCGAATTGATTGAACCCGGGGCGGGTGCGGCGGCGGCGGCGGCGGCGGCTCTCGGTGCCCGGCCTCTGGGTGTTGCGGAGTTTGAGCCCCATGTATTCGGGCAGGCAAAGGGCTGATTAACCCCGAAAGACAGTGCCGGGGGTGCTGGTGAGTCGCAGCAGCTGGCGGAGCTAAACACAGCACCTGCAGGGCGAGGGAGCTCAAAGTTTCTGACACTTTTTAAGTTTCCTGGGGATAAAAGTGGGACAGGGAAGGACGGACAAGAACCAGGGTCTGACCAAGGGGAGCCTTTTAGAGAGCCGGGATTTGCGGAACCCTCTGAGGCTGGTGGCAGGAGCGTGGGAAGCAGCGCGAGGAGATAAAGTCCCCGGGAGTGCAGCTAGGGAGAGCTTCAGGCCCCCGAAGGGTGTCCTTCTGACCTCACCAAGAAAACAGCGCGCGGTAGTTTTCCTGCTCCGCCCCCGCCGCCTCCCCCTCCCTGCCTGGTAAATAACGAGTTACAACCATCCAGCCTTTCAGAATGACCTTCCAGTGGCACATGTGCGCCATTTGTGCTGGCCGTTTGCAACCTCCCAATTACTCCGAAATTCTTCATGCATACCAGGTCCCGCGCCCCAGCCACCCTCAGGAATCACGCCCGCACCGACTGGAGATTCCAAGCGGCCTCTTAGATACATCCTTTTTATCTGTCTATCCACTCCTAGTCCCTTCGTATTTCCTCTCAATGGGTTGATTGTACACATTGACCCACTCAAAAGCAGTCGCGACTGACATGCAGGCTTAGCCGCGAGGAATTTCTACGAGGCGACCTAGTGGGGGTGTCTGGTTCAGCCTCTGCCGCTGGGGGACCCCGCTCGGAGTGCGCAGCAATTCGGTATTAACTGTGCGGCTCCCGGTTGAGCTATGCCGAAAAGCCCTTTTCAGAATTTCTGCGAGGAATGTAATCCAAATTAGTTCTGCAGCTGTCCTCTTCCTCGTCTCAGGCGACACCAGCTCGCGCCCTCGCTTGTCTCTTTTCGTTTCCCTGGGCGAATCGTCAGACCCACAAGCGAGCCCATTTAGAGCGCGAGGATTAGCGTGCCATTGTTGTTCCGAGTGTGACTCTGTACTTGAAATTCTGGGGGCACAAAAGCGAGCCTCACTTGTTCAGAACACAAAGTGATCTAGATAAAAGGGCCGCACAAAGAAAAGCTCTCGGGTGCATCCCTGGTATAATTGCAACACGCATTCTAAGGTGATCCATTGGAAACTGTAAATGCCCCGGGGACTTCTGTTTTCATCCACTCCCACCGCACCTGGCAGGGAAAGTTCAGTTGGTTTTGATTGTAAACCAGTAAAAACAAGTTACTGTTTGGGGTGTGAGTGAGGCTGTGTGTGTTTGCGAGTCGCTGTATGTTCCCATGTAAATACATATTGCGCATCTCCCCTCTCGCAGTTAGCAGTCAGTAGCAGTTTGAAGGAGTTTGTTTTGGTCCAAATGAGAAATTAAGTGCGGATAAGTAAACTAAGCTGCCAGAGGGCGACAAGATGTTGAGTGAATTGCTTTTAGATGAAACAAATTAAGGAAACGAGGGAAGACAATCTGCTTCTCGCATTATTAGACACGCTTGGAGTTCAGGGGAAAGTGGCATATTTTTGAAATGCTAATTTCTTAAGAAGCAGAAGGAATGCACCTTATTTACTGTTTTATGCAAACAGAATAAAAATATAGGGTTGGGGATTCTGTGGTATAGGTCTTTAAGATTTCTTAGAAACATCAACGGAAGAGGGCATTTTTCTTGGCTTGGGAAAAATCAGCCATGGAGAGAATTATTTAGCAATTCTAAAGGACTTTGTCTCATTTCCAGTAATTCATTTTATATAGACATATTACAGCCAAAGACCTTTTAAATGGCAATGATAAAGCCTTTCCTACTCGTAGGAATAATTCTAAAGTCTCTATCTTCCTTGTATGATGGGGAATTATCAATAAAACCTTTGCATTGAAATAAAACATGTAAGTATTGAAGTGGCACTCTTGCAGATCTTGATATATATGTGAACACGGTCACTTGCAGCTTCTCTGCAAGCCATTTAGTCCTTTTCATTTTATAAAAATATATACAGTATATATTTCCTGTATATTTAGGATATATCATTATACCTCCATACTTGAAGTATTTTGACATTTGAGCAAAAAATGTTGCTAAAACTTAGTTAAGTGGCAAAAGGATATTAAATATTTTTCTCAAAAAAGCAGTAATTCTCTCTTTACATGTTTACTCTAAGTATATCCATGAGTACAGATTCTTCTTTTCCTTTTAATTTTGAAGTTCTTATATATGACATTCTATATATATTCTTATATATATGTTAAGAGAGCCTTGTAGAAGGTATTTTTCTCTTCAGCAGTATCTTTCAGTAAATTAAGTGCTATTGTTATAATTGCAAATTACTTTGAATACTATAACATTTGCACTGTTTTGATGAGAAGGAATAATTTTAGTATGTCTAGAGTTCTTGTTTTTTTCTCTCAAACTGAACTACCTTTATTTTAATCATGCATGCATAGAAAGTCAAATTTTTTTGAAAATCAAGGCACTTACAACTTTATATATATTTTCATTTAGTCTCTGGAAATGTGTCTTAATTAGGAAATTACATTAGAATATTTACTAGGGCATGCGCTTCATGGAAGATTTATGCATTTTATTCTAACCTGAACACACTAAGTTTGCATTGGCTGATCTTTAGAGTTTGCATTCATTTGATAGAAAATCATGTTTCCCCTTCACAGTGGAGTCAAATATTTAGTATTCATGAGCTTTTATTCCTTTGGATCTTAAATAGAAGTACTATTTATCATCTGTCTTATGCATTCACCTTTTCCATTGCTTTGATTCTTTACATCTTCTTATTTGAGTTTACACATGTGAATACCTATTTTCCCTTTTACCACTAAGTGTACTCATTGTTTTATGTGTCTTTGCAGCAACCTGCCACTCAGCCACTGCGGGAGTCCTCTGAGCCAGTTTTCATTCCTTCTTTCTGATAAATCTGATATGGCTGGTTGGTTGAACAATCGCAAGCCTTTCCATTGCTCAGATTTATTCCTGAAAGAAAATAAAACAGCATCGATCCAAGATCACCAGCACATCTCAAAAACCCTGACTCCAAGGCCAAATCTTGCCTCAGAGAAGTCCCTCTTTACCTTGCTCTCTCTCTGCTCCCTTTTTCACTAAGGAAGGAAGGTGGGCTATTGCCATTTAAAAAGCACCAGGGATGGAAGCAGTGGTGCCCTAAGTATTCTCTGAAGTCCGGCAGTGAGAGCCATCTTGAGATTAATGGTTATGGAAGGTGCACATTTTACACAGTATAAATTGAGTGAAGATGTCTTAAATATTGCAGTGCTTTAAAGTGATATCATTTTTATATTTTTCCAAATAAGTTAGTAAGAACAGTTAACATGTATTTTAAAAATAGCAGTGAGTTTTGGCTTTATAATGTTCCCCTTCTGTTTGCGTGTTCATGTGTGATCTGTAAATGCCTGAAACACAAATGAAGGAAATAATCACAAATGAAGGAAATAATCAAAAAATTGCTGGCATTTGCTCTGTTTAGTTTCCCTTTTTTGAGAGATATTACTTTTTAAACTGTTAATATTTATGTTGAAATTACCTTATACATGTGCAAGTCTACAGCTCTTTTGTAAAAAATGTCAAACATATTGTGCTGTTATCTTTTACAATAATCTACTGAATATGCTATGTAGGGTAGAGCTTAATCATATTACTAATTTTCTCCAGGTTATAGCAGTTTAGAGATGTTCTGTTACATTAACATTTCACTATATGGAACTAAACTGCACCTTTTGTCTAACTCTCTTTCTTAAATGTTATAAATATTGGGTAGCCGGAGTAAAATCATGCTTTCCTGATTTCTAGTATAGCGATTGAAGTTTATGATTTATAGTGAAAAAAATTTGATTTCCTATTTATTAATTTAGAAAAGATCCTAGATCAAAGTTTCTTACAATCATAGCTCTTCTAAATAGTTTGAAGGAGATCTCTCCTCCCTATTTTGTGGGTAAGTACAGCACAGGTCATAGCCATGTGGTTTAAATAAAGATTTCTACACTCTATGGACATTTCTCCCAGTCCCTTTTTAGTACCTTGAGCAACTCACTCCATTTCTTTGTGATTTCTC